AAATAAACAAATAAATAAATAAATAAATAAAGGAAATTGTTTGAAAGTGTGGGCTGCTATGTGATCATATAGAGGAAGGTGGTCATGTTCTGACTATTCTGTTTGCCCAGTCTGTGAGTTCATATGTGCAGCTCCCCTGTGTCAGAAGCACTGCTTCCTTGTAGTCATGCCTCACCTCTGGTTCTTACACTCTTCCCATCTCCTCTTTCAATGCCCCCCAGATCCTTGGGAGGAAGTCATGTTCATATTTGTTCCACATAATACTGAGAATTCCGCAGCCTTGTATTTTCTGCACTTTGATTAGTTGTTGGTCACTTTGTTAACCATCTACTATACATAGAAGCTTCCTTGCTGAGGATTGAGAGCTCCATTAATCTATGGGTTTAATGGTAAGTCATTAGGACTTAGTTTAATGCTCCTCCAACTTATCAGAATAATAGTCCTATGTTCTCTACTTGGGCTTATGGCTAGTGTTGCCATAGATTCTTGACCTGACAATGATGCCAGGTATGAGTTTCATCCTTTGGAGTACAATTCATATCCAATCAGAAAGTGATTGGTTATTTGTATGATGGCTATACCACTATTGCACCAACGAACATGTCTTGTCTGAGAGTCCTTGTGACAATAATCAATATTTTGTGGATTATGGATGATAGCTTTTGTGTATATATTTGCTTATGTGCAGGCACACGTGTGTTCATATATATATACATCTTATCCTCAAGCATTGTTTCTAAGGCACCAGATGCCATTTTCTTTTGTTTCCATTATTTTTTTTTGCTTTGTTTTTGAGACAAGGGTCTTTAATGGCTTGGGTCTCACTGATTGAATAGGACGTCTGTCCATCAAGTCCTAAGGGTCTTCCTTTGTTCACCTCTTCAACACTGGGATTATAAGCATGCTGTACAACACCCAGCTTATTGTATGTTGGTTCTACAGATTGAACTCAGGTCCCTATGCTGACTCACTAAGGTGTCTCTCCAGCTTCCAAATAATGGCATTGTTAATTTGAAATTAGGGCTGGAGACAAATCTCTCAGTCAGCTTGGTAATTATCAGTGGAAAGGAGAGCACAGCTGGGGAGATATCAGTCCCCACCTCCCCTCCCCCTGCCCCTGGGAGAGTTCAGTACTTACCTCTGACTCTTTTTCTCACAGTAGCTTCAAAGCTTTGGGGACTTCTTTTCATTGAGAAATGCTGGAGTTAAAAAAATGAAGTCCTCTGTAATTAAAAAAAATGTATTCAGTTTCTTGCATAGATCCCCAGGGATAAATCATGGCTCCTTTCACGGTAAGATGTATATTTCTCTGTATCAACCTGCGTTAAACTTCTTTTCATTTCTCAAATTTAATGCTAAATTATTTTCATGATCATTAGTGAAGATTTAAAATATGCCAAAGAGAAAAGCAAAATAAATAAATAAAATTATGACCGCAGAATCTGGAGAGATGGTTGAGTGGTTCAGAGTGCTTGCTGTTCTTCCAGAGGACCCAAGTTCAGTTCCAAGAAACATGTTTTGGTTTTTTGTTGTTTTTGTTTGTTTGTTTTATTTATTTAATTTTTTGAAGGAAGGGTGTGTCTTTTCCAGGCAAAGACAGAGACTGGATAGAGGTGTAGCTACTGACTCATTCTACATATTGCCCCAACACTGATTCGAAGTGCCAGAACATAAGGCATCCAGATGCAGCTTGCTTGCAGAGATGATGTAGTTTGTACTTAGTGCTTCTTAATGGAACATAGTCTGAGCTTTGTGTGAGGTCAGGAAGGAACAGGGAGAATATGTCTGCACTGCAAGTGGTGTTTTTGAACAGGGAGCATCCCTAAATCTCAAGTCAACACCTTAAAAGGATAAGGCCGCACCTGTTCATCCTTTGAGCCAGGATGGAAATGTTCCTATTGTCTCAGTCTTTTTGTCCCTCCCCGTAGGACCATTGTGGCAAACCAGGCTGTCAGAAGATGCTTTTCACCTAGGCCAGCCTCATATTGGAAGCAGGAGTGGGTGATCATGTGACCTTGTATCATGTTTGTGTATATGTTCAAGAGGACATGTGCAAAAGTTTTGGTTATTTTTAATCTTCATTAATAAAAATGTTATATTTGAGTATAGATACATTTGAATTAATGCACTTTTCCCCTCATAATAAGAAATTTCATACTTTTGGGGTTAATTAACCTGAATAACCCTGAGTTCATGCTACATTTTAAAGCTAAATTTACCTCTAGTTTGAGGCTTATGTCTCTGATTTGAATGAGTTGAAAATATTTGCACATGAAAAGTTACAAGTTCATAAAAACTGTGTTTACCATCCCTCCCCCCTCGTCCAAATAGCAAGAAACTAAAGTATTCTTTATGTTTGCTTAAGATCACATACTTAGAATAGGCTCCTAGATGAGAAATTATTAATGGTAGGTACAATTAATGTAAGAACTTGTTATTTTTCAAGTCGTGAATATGCTCAGTCCCAGTATATAGTAGCTTGCCTTGTATGGATGTTTATGAAGTGCTATCCTTTCCTTTATTCTATATTTTAAAATAAATAATTCAGTGAAAAACTGTTTCCTTGGTTTAATTTGTGTTTGTTTGAATAGAATTGTGGAGGCTAAAAATTACTCAGGGTCCGAGAATCTGAGCTTGCTTTACCCAGCAGGGCTGCATAAGGGGATGCTTTGACCATGGGTGTGGTTACCAGGTGTTTGGAAGGGTCTGCACTTGGCTGTGTGGTGTGCTTTGATCTAACAAGGGGAAGGTCTTTTGCCCCACCCCTTGGCATTGTTATAAAAAGCCTCTTGAATAAACAGAAAAAGCCATTGGGTTTTGATCCAGGTCCTCCCGAAGCTATCCTGTGTTTTTGTCTTTCTCCTCTTCACTATCTTTTTATCTAATATTTTTTTTCATCCCTCTCTCCTCCTCATAGGAACCCTGGGAAAAGTAGGAACTGGCCTCCCACGAAAGTATTTTATTTTTTCCATCCATTAATAGTTGCACTTTTATTTTAGACAAATTATTTAGATAGTGCCTTCTTTAAAAAAATACTTAATTAGTTCTTTGAGAATTTCAAGCATAGTGTATTTTGATTATATGCATACTACTCCACAACTCCTTCTAGATCCATGCCTTCTTCCATACCCACCAACCTTTGTGACCTCATTTTCTTTAAACCCATCAGGTTCAATTTGTGCTTCCGGTGGGTGTTGGACCATCCACTGTAGGAGCATGGCTGACTCACCAGAGACCAAATCCTTAAAGAAAATCAACTCTCTCTTCACCAGTGCCACCACAAGTACACTCATGTACATGTATGTACACCTGCATCTGTATACCTGCATGCATCTGCATCTACACGATACACCTTCCCCACAAAATAATAAAATCAGGAAAAATGGAAATATGAAATACAAATAACCAAGGCAAAAACATAGACTTTAAGAAAAAAAAAATAGGCCCTAATGAATCACAAAAACACACAAAATTATTGCTGTTTTAGACACAATTCACCAAAAGTAGCTCCAGAAAACTTAATAAATAGCAATAAGCCCGTGTATCTGATCAATTATAACACTCATTGTTTATTGATATTTATAGTAAGTAATGTCTCATCATTACAGATTTTAATTGTAATAAAAGGATATCGAAGAGTAGGGGTGAAGAATATAGACTCGAGGGGCTGGAGAGATGGCTAAGTGTATAAGAACATTCTGTGAAAGCATGAAGCCCTGAGCTTGAATTCCCAGAACCCATATAAAAAGCTGGGCATATTTTAGGTGCCTGTAGACCCAGCATTAGAAGTCAGAAGCAAATGGCTCCTGAGAGCTTGCTGCTCAGTCAGCTTAATGTGAGCTTCATGCCCAGTGGAAGACACTGTGTCAATGCAGTAAGCAGAGAGTGATAACGGAAGACACCTGACATCCTCCTTTGGCCACGTGCACTGGAGCACACCTCATATACTCAAGTGTGTACACCACACATGCAACGTACCCCCACTCTGGAATGAGGGTGCCAGCTCACCACTCTGCCACTTTAAAGTTCTGACACAGTCAAATAACAGAAACATTTTGGTTTTAGCTCCTCATCTGTGAAACAGAAATAGCATAGTACCTGCCTCTTCCTTCTAGTTGGTCCAAACATGGGCAAGAATGTAGTGAATGTCAGATATCAAAATATTAATAATGGCTGTCACTTACTGTTATGATGCCAATGATCTTTCTACACGTGTATTTCTGAATCTCTGAAAGAACATGAACTTACTGATATTTTTTGTGTGTCCATTCAAAAATATTTATTAATTTCTTACTATGTACAAGACAGTTGTGTCATAACAGAATGATCATCAGCAGAAAAGCTTAAATTCGTGGTATTTGAGATAATAGTATGTGCTTCTGTATAAACAAACCAGGATGACGTGATGGGGAGTGATCAGTGGCCCTTCCTTTATCTGGTGATCTGAGGAGGCTTCACTGAGGAGTTAAGCTGAAAACTGAAAGGCTACCAACATTCTGTCTGAATATTTTTGAGATTGGGATTTTGAAGCATTTTGGATTTGGGGATTTTTGATTAGGGATATTTACCCAACGAACTATATGCAAATATTGAAGATCCATAAAACTGAATTTCACATAAAGGATGCACAGCTTGCTCATAGGTTTCCAAAGCTGGTTACCCACAGAGTGTCTTATGCTTCCTGAAACAAAGTTTTCTTTGTGAAGTTTTCTTCTGAGTACATGCTGCACCTTAGTCTGGATATTTAACATGGTGTGGAGAAAGATGCATACCCCCCGAATACAATTATGATACAGAATTGAAGATGAAGTAAATTAGCAGAAAACTTTAAGTCCTGAAAAAAAATATTTAGTGCTGGGGGTGAGATATACAGGATTGTAATTATAGGATCAAAGTGTGCATTGCTGTGAATGCACATTCATGAAACTTGATTGCTTTGTATGGAGTGATATTGGTTGTGTTTAACAAATGATAATGAAATTCATGCAAGCTTTGCTACAGTCTCTCTCGATCTTTGCCTTCATACACAGTAGTTTAGAGCACTGGAAACGTGTTGGTTCTCCCCTTCCAGGGAGAGATGGAGAAGAGTGGTCCTGGACAAAATGGACAGGTATAGAACAAAGGCAGGCACAGAAGCCGCAGACTCGAGTTCCTAGGGATGACAGTGGTTGCACACTCACTGGATGTTTCGTTTTTCTCGTGCCCCCCTTCAGAACCTGTTCCCCATCCTAAGAGATTGTGCTTGTTTCAGAAATGGTGAAACCAAGGACATGGAAAACAGATATGATCTGATTAAGTCCATGGTGAGCTGGAAGCTAGCAGCTTTGAATAGGAGCTCAATTTGATGTGACTGTTTATTCAGACATTAAAATACATGATATGAAAATTAGGAATCAGAGAAGTATGTAAGCAGGGAGTCCTCTAAAAGTTACCTCATTTTTCTCTGACTGAAGGCATTCACAGAATCTCTCAACAGGGTAGTTAATATTCCGCTCCTCAAGGAGTCCTTCACATGTGTAAATGAAGCTAGGTGTGAAAGAGAGACTTCTAACCCACACCAGATGGTTGCAGTGGGGAGAACTGAGAGACATCATCAGTTGCCTCTCAACATGGTATCAGATGACCAGTTCTTCCCTTTTCTAGGCTCCTTTGACCTCTGACAGGTCAGAATCTTCATTTGTTGGAGAGAGGGGAAAAAGAAAGCAAGCCAAATTGACTGTTGGCCTGAATGTGTATATATATTTGGTTTTTCGAGACAGGGTTTCTCTGTGTAGGTTTGCGCCTTTCCTGGAACTCACTTGGTAGCCCAGGCTGGCCTCGAACTCACAGAGATCCGCCTGCCTCTGCCTCCCGAGTGCTGGGATTAAAGGCGTGCGCCACCACTGCCCGGCCTGAATGTATATTTTTAATCCTACATTTCTTTCTTTTCCTTCTCTTTTAAAAGTCTATGTATACATAGCCATGTGTCAATTTTGTTTGATTAATAACCCTTGGAAAGAGGGGACTTCTCTTTTCTACATCTACTTTATATCTATAATGATATCACTGTCAAGACAACCTGTTCATATTTGAGGACTCAAAAAATGTAATTACAAGGGTATAATCTAAGGCTAATTTATATTAGCCTAACCTTTGCCCCCTTTGCTTCTTTAGTCCTGTACAAATTTGAATTAATTATGCTATCATGAGGAACTCATTGCGTAATTATAATTCACTCAGTGGTAT